ATATATATATATATATATATAATTTGCTAACTAATAACCCCATGTGAAACTGAATCAGAGTCTCATTTCGGAGTCTGCTACTGTCCACCGGAGGTTGCATTTCGGTCATGGAGGCATGCTTTCAGAGCCTTTCTTGACCAAATAAGTGAAGTACGCTGTTTTCCACCAAGGCAACCTGAAGTGCTGAAATATATTTGGCTAAACTGACATTGGGCAGGTTAAAATTACCAAGACAAAGACAGCATTCCAGCATTTAATGTACATTTTCAAATCAGAATATCTGACTTGAGCCTTGTTTTTCTGATAAACAAGAATGTTCACTTAGCATGTTTCTTAAAGGTCTGCAAACATATTATGGTATTTTTATGCTTTAAAAGAGTCAAAAACTTGCATACAGCACATTTAACCATAAGAGGCTACTTTTTCTTTTTTTTTTAAATAATACAAAATAACATTCTTAAAAAAACTTTAACACTGAATTCATGATCAGATCTTTTTTTTAAATGCATTTAGTAAAGTTTTCATCATTGCTCAGTCACCCATGCTTTCCTTTTTTTGTCTGTGAAACACAAAAGTTTGAAGTAAGCCGTACTCACACTAGGTACAGTTGCCTCGAACCGAGCCAAAGCACGCTTGTCCCCCCTCCCGTCTCCTCCGATGGCCCGCGCTCACACCACAAACGGGCCTCGGCAGTGACAAGCGCTCTCACTCGGCAGCACAGTGGACATTTCTCTAGTTATATCAATTCAGTTGTTTGTTATGCAGTGACATGCAGTCAAATATTTCGCCAAACAGTCCTTAGGGATGCGGTGACACGCAGTCAGATATTCGCCGAACAGATCTGCCACTTTTGGGGCTCATAAACTATTATAAAGCAGGAATGAGGAGGTCTCCTGAAGGCGTGCAGCTGTCGTGCAATGAGAGGTTTGCGTCGTTAATAAACTACAGCAGTTTGCGGTCACTGAACAGTAAGAATGATTAATAAATCCATATGAAACAGCCCCTTAAAAGTCACGTCTCGCTTTCAGTTTCGGGCTTTGTCGCTTTTTGCACTCGCACACAATCGTACCGTGTCAAAGCCCAAGTGAACCGCGCTCAGGCACACCTCTTCCAACCGAGCAAGGGCCGGCCAAGTGAACCGTGCTTGAGCCCGATTCAGCGCACTCACACTTCTCAAACGATCCGGGAAACGGGCCTGGGCACGGTACGGACGGCATAGTGCGAGTAGGCCCATAAAGTTTAAGTTCAGGCTGTTTGTTCTTATCCTTTAATTGAAAGACTTGTTTTACACAGCCAAGTCTTCTGACGTCATCACTGGTTTTATGTTGGAGAAATGTTCAAATGCAGCTCATTATTCACTCTCTCTCTCTTTTTATTTCAAAGCATATACATATTTTGAATTAACCACTTGTATTTGCTGTGAGAAGTAATTGTTGGCATGCCTTGTATGCGACTTTACACTATTTGCGAGATCAAGACAACCTTTAATGAAGCCCATTCACACCTCTGAGCAGACGCCGTTTCTTTCTAGCATTCCTTTGTTGTCTTATCCTGAGCTGCAGAATTCAGTATGCAGCCTGTTTGAGTTTAATTTCATGCGGGACAAAAGATCAAGCAGCGCGTTTGATTTTCACTCCACCTTATGCTTGCCACATCTAATTTCATACTTTTCCATGGAGATAAAGTGAAAATTATTTTTGGGGCCAGACTGAGTAGAGTGCATTCAAACTCTCTGAAGTGACTGACGGTGTAGTGTATAATGGTTTCTAATATTACTGACAGTCTCTGTGTTGTTTTCTTATTGATTTGCCTGCCTGCTGTTAGCTGGCTGTTGTAATAAGATTTTAGCCTTATCAATTGGTGTTCAAAATGTATTTGATGACTTTTTGATTTTGCCTGTAATGTAATTTTTCTTTTCAACATTATTGATTTTTTCAATGTTCTGTCAATATTCATTGAAGAGCAAATAGAGTTTCATTGTTCATACTCAATGGAGAACATTGTGCTTTTGTGCACACCACCACTGGGGTAAATTCATATCATTTTTTGTCTTGTTATATCGTTTATTGAATTACTGTTTTTGAAAGAAGGCTCTTATGCTCAATAGTGCTACAAAGTAAAAACAAAGTAAAAATGTAATATGTTTTTTACATCTATAATATTGTAAAAAAAAAAAAAATCGTTATTAAGTATCATTATTTCGGTCTTTGGTGTCACATGATTATTAATGATTATCTGATTATCAGAAATAATTCAAAAATACTGGAGCTTAAAAGCAAGGGTGGGTAGAGTATCCAAAATCTATACTCAAGTAAGATTACAAGTACTTGCGGAAATTTGTACACAAGTGAAAGTAACTTAAAGTATCTTAAAAGTTACTCGAGTAAAAAAGTAATTGATGAAACAAAATATTCAAGTAAATAGGTAGTGGTTACTTTTTTTTCTCAAATGTTTCACAACTGATGTTTAACAGAGCAAAGACTTTTTTTTTTTTACATATTTTCTATGATATTTTTTTTTTCTACTGGTGAAAGTCTTTGTTTTATTTGTTTAAACACATATACACACACACACACACACACCAATATATATATATATATATATATATATTGATTGTCTACAGAACAAACCATCATTAATGATTTGCTTATTTACCCTTACTTGCCTAATCTATTTAAGTCTTTAAATGTCACTTTAAGCTGAAAACTAGTATCTTGAAAAAAAAATCTAGTCAAATATTATGGAGCTAATAATATGCCAAAACAATCTGAATTTGAAGTGTGTTAATTTGAATTATTGACAACTGTAATTTAATAAATCAGAAATTTTATGTGCCGTTTAAATTGTTTGAATTTGAATTTCACAACTTGAATATTGAACATCCGAAATGTAAGACAACTGAATTTTTCAAGGCAATTATTTTTTATTTTTTTTAATAGAGGTATTAACTTCAGATTTTTTGTGTTCTGAATTCAAAGACTGCAGATATCCAGTTTGTAAATGTACAGTTTAAAATTTTCAAGATGAAGAAATTCAGATTGTGAAATTCAGACTGCTCAGAACGTATGGCTGTTTTTCATTTCCAAGAACGGATTTGCATTTTTTGGAAACCAGTCAAACTGAGAATCACTCACCTCTGCTTGACTGATAGTTATGGATAAATTACAGGGTGCGAATTACGAGGGTAAGAGGGTTGTGGGGGTCTCGAAATAGGTAAAAATAAATGTTTTTTTTTTCTACATATAGCCTAATGTAAAGCTAAACAAAAGTGTGTATTTTAACTTTTAGTATAGAGAAGGCTGCTTTCGGTTTCGGGACACATAAAACAAACATTATGTTGAAAACTCATCAAGTGGCTTTCCCTGTACACTATTCACAATAATATAGACTTTTAAACACCTCGTATGCTGTTACCGTTTGAAACAAAGTTAAACACTTAACAAATGAGGTTAACAAGAAATCTTTGAGCAAGTCATGAGTCACTTAATTCATTTATAAATAAGCCGATTCGAACAAATCTGAATAAACAATTCAATGACAAAGATAGAGATGTGGCGCCACCTATTGGACATTTCAGTTTCAATGTATTTTAGCAAAAAATAATGCAATATTTATAAATATATGGAAAAATCTGACCATTCAAATAAATATAAACGTTAAGTTTAATAAAATTATTAACGGTAAATTTGACAGATGTGAACAGATGATTTTTAAAAGAGGCAGCATTTCAGTGTTGATAATGGGCTTTGGGCAAACATACCATTACATTTTTTCTTAAAATACTATACTCTATGCTATGCTGTACTATAAAATATTGTTATCAAATAGCATCTTAAATAATTTGATGAAAACGTGTGTACATGCAAATATGTTATTTACTACAGTTGTAAAATGTTGGAACAGTTCAAAAACGCACCTGGAAAGAGCTTGAAAAGTCATTAAATGTGACTTTGATAAAGGTGTAAGAGCCCTGTGTCTGCTGAAATAACCCATCAGAGGTTACAGTATAGGTCAGAATCAGCTATTTGTCCTTCAAAACACCAAAACATAAATAGAATTGATTAACCAATGAGATGTAACCAGACCACCAGGAGGAAACCCACACCAACACACTGAGAGAACATGCAAACTCCACACAGAAATACCAGCTGACCCAGCCAAAACTCAAACCAGTGACCTTCTTGCCGTGAGGTGACAGTGCTAACCACTGAGTCACCTTGCAGCGTATTAATTTACACTATTATCAATAGAAATGCCAAACAAAAGCATTTTCACTATTGAACTCTGAAGACTGAGGAATGTCAATCGAGCATTGAAGAATACTGTCATTTACACATATGAGCATACCTATAATTGAACACATATATTCATATATGCAAATGAAGGCACCAGTCTTTCCTTAACGATTGCTCAAGTGTAAACAGAAGACACGGTAATATCGCTCTCAACATAAACTGATTTGCAGTGCGTTCGTTATGAGATTTTGTTGATTAATTTCAATGCCACAGCAGTTTGATTAATAGATGAACATTTGAATGTTTAATTAGAATTCCTGCAATCAACTTAGAGGAGATTGTCTTTTACTCTTTGTATTTACTATTGATGAAGCGCTCACTGTTGGAGGGAACAATGTGTGTTTGAAAAGGGGCATCAGGGGGATAACCAAGCGTTTATCTCTGTCCTCAGATAAGATGCTGGAATTAAAGAAGCCATCCTGCACAAACGCCTTGGTGCTCCACCGCAATCCAAACCCAGAGGCTAAAGCTGAGGTCTGTCATTTTTCTCACTCTCATTAGATTTATTCAAGCTATTCTAAAACTGTTGCTCTTATGTTATTTGAATGATTCCTTGTTCAGGTTTGAATGCTTCATCTTTCTTTATTTCCATTGCATTTTATACGCTCGGTACAGGGTGGTACAAGTAATGCTCCTCAAGGAACAGCTTTGCACCTTTGTAAAAGTAAACCTTATATGGTACAGAAAATACCTCTTGATACTGTTCTGTACCTGTTATGCTACAATTGAAGTGGAGGTACACAGTTGTTCTCATAAAAAAGCAACACAAATGTTGGACAACTCTTTATTACAATATCTATGAAAATAAATAGTGATTTTATAAATAATTTCCATATTAAAAAATAAATCATCATTTACAAGACTATAGCCCCTTTCACACAGTGATACCGGTAAATATCCGGAAAATTTCCGGAACTACTTTACCGGTATAATCAAAAAAACGCTGTTCACACAGGCGAGGAAGTTATGGAATTTTTCCGGAAAAGAGCATTCACACATCCATCGCAAAATGCCGGTAAATTCTGACATCATTAACCAGAAATGACCTCTAAACGGCTGCGCTTGTGTTTGTAAACATTTGACTACATTAAAAACTCTTCCGATGGATCATTATTGAGTACAACTCTAATGAAAACATAGGGAAACACTTTCGTATGTCGAGATGTTCATGATATGTGTGTGTGCTGGCGCTATGGGCGCTCACGGGCACACGCAAAGCTTGAAGGTAAACAAACAACGGATTATCATAAACATTTTATCGATAATTATTTACACAGCATTAAGAAGGAACATAGAAACATTATCTGACTAACATCTAGCAGCTAAAGGTGTCTGGAAAAAATATTCAAAGGCTTTTATTCTCATAAACCGCGCGCACGTGAATGCGTCTGACTGTTGTGATTGGCTAAAGCAGGTGTCTCACGTCAGCCCGTTCTAGACGTGGACGCGCTTATTACGGCAATCTTCCTTCTGTGTTCACACAGCGCAGCATTCCGGCAAATTACCGGTAATGTTACAACTTCTCTTTCCGGAAAATAGCCAGAACGAATTTACCGGTATTTTCAAAAAGGGCCTGTTCACACATACAACCTTTCCGGAAAATTGCCGGTAATTTTCCGGAAAGGTCTGTATGTGTGAAAGGGGTTTATGTTTAAAGAAACTCATAAACATTCATTATTAAGTTATATTATCTAATAATACAAAACCACTGGTAAAACAAAACTATAGATATTGTAAACTAAACATTTAAGGCATTTTTAATAAACATTTAGTAAGCATTTTCTGATAAATACATTTTTATTAGTGACACTTTTTGGCGTTTGCTTTCCACTATTGGCACATGAGCTGGCAAAAATCCTGCATATGCAAAGTGTTCATGCAGACATTTTAGTATTGTAAAACTTATCAGACATTGTGCATAACTCGTCACAGTACTTTTGCAAAATTTTGTTTCTATTTTAAAATTAAGTAAAATAAATTAACCTTTAAGTGATTGAGTTATTGTGTGAACATTGGAGAAAATATTGTACATGGGAGAGTGTGCATGGTTTCCGCTACATTCATTCTTCCATGGCTGGGCAACACACTAAAACTGATCCTGCCACGGCTACATTACAGCTTTTCATTCAAAACATTCAGTCCTGTTTTTTTTTTTTTTTTTTTTTTTTTTTTTAAAGCAGGTTATAATCGCACCAAAACGTATTAAAAGGTAAGTTAATTATAACAACGCAAACTTTTGTGTAACCGTAGTAGTGCTGTGCGCTATTTGTTTAACCTTTTTAGGGTTACTTGCTGACTGACAGGTGTGGGATGCTTGAGGCCAGCAAACATGACGTATAGCCATTTCACTTTACTTCAGGACGCATTAATACCGCTCTATAGGTCTATTGGAGACGTTCATAAATATTTCTAGCAAATCTAATAAATGTTGGAGACATACTCGTTACATAAATGCACTAAATCGCACTTTTTTTATTTATTTATATAAATTTATTTGAGGGGGCGTGCAAGAAGTTTTGTGCACGAGCAGAGGAAATCGTTGCGCAAGCAAAGAGATTCGCATGCTCGTAGGCTTTTACATAAATGCGTTCTCGACTTGTAATACTGCGCTCATGACAGTTGTCATTGAAATAACGCCACAGGTAGTTGGTAGATCTGTGTAAAAAAACGCCTGCCGCCACAGCTGGAAAAAATCCTAGAGGAAACACTGATGGGTTTCTGTAATATTTATGTTAAAGCAATTTTATTCTTTATTGTAAATGGAAAAGGTGCATTTACACAAAGAGAAACTTATTTAAAAATACATTTTTATATTTACTGAAAATAAATTGACACATTTTGGATGAATCAAAATGCCTGTGATTAGTTCTCGAAGTAAAACATTTGACACTGTTAAGGTACAAAGTGTCTAGTCACTGTAGTACACTCCCAGAAAAAAAAAGGTACACATTGATACAAATAATGCTCCTTAAGGAACAGTTTGTACCTGTGTAAAAGTTAAAGCTACAGAAAAGACCTATGATACTGCTTTGATATTTTTATAGTACAACTGAAATAAAGGTACACAATTGTTCTCATAAAAAGGTACAAAAGTGAACAAATCCTTTATTACAATATGAAAATAAATATTACTGGAAAGGCAAAGTGATTTTAGGAATATTTCCAAATCAAAACAGGAATTATCATTTAAAAGCATATGTTTAAAGAAACCCATAAACAGTAATTCATAAGTCCTACAATACAAAACAGCTGATAAACAAAACTATAGGTATTGTAAACTAAACATTTAAGGCATTTTTAATATACATTTAGTAATCATTTTCTGAAAAATACAGTTTAATAATTGATATCCGCATCTTTTAGTGCTTTCCTCTAAACGCACATGAGCTGCAAAAGTCCTGCATATGCAAAGTGTTCATGCAGACATTTTAGTATTGTAAAACTAATCAAACATTGTGTATATCTCATTACAATACTTTTGCATAAATCTGTTATTTCAAAATTAAGTAAATTAATTAAGTGATTACAAAGGTATTGTGTGAAACAAGGTACATTTTGGTTTGCCATGGTACAAATCATGTCCTTAAAGGTACAAACTGCAATAGTACAAATGTGTTTCTTTGTCTCAAGGTATAATTCTGTTCCATAAAAAGCTACTGGCCCAGTGACAAGGGTTTGTACCTTCTTTGGTACAACACTGTACCATTTAATCTGAGAGTGTATAATGTGGATTGTGCCAAAGAAGAGAGATGAAGTAAATAAAAATGCATAAGAATATTTCAGTTTGCCAAACATTCCAGCAAATCGGGTAAACTGTAACAAATAAATAAAAATAAAAATAAAAAAAATGTCAGTAAATTTGAAGTTTTTCGTATTTATTCAGTCATGTCTTTATTTTTCTCTTTTATTCATGTGTTTGAATTGCAATAGGCTACCTTGATCTTTCTTCCAACAACTTTTAACCTTGAAAAGTAATTCTTTTATGAACATTCTTAATAGTTAAAGTGATATATTGTCTGGGCTGGTATTGTATATTATGCTACAATAACCTTGTATTAAACTGCCAGTTTTCTGTTATTTTACAGACACATTCCTCTATATTATTTCTTATACATTATATTACTTCAAACCACTAAAAAGTCAATAAAAGTCTCTGTTAAACTGTAGAGTTTAATCATCAACATCAAAAGTCGACAGAGCAGAGATCAAGCTCCTATAATGCAATTTACAAACATAAATAAATGGAAAATACTTGTGGATTACAAAACTGTTAATTAACAGATATTAACAGTGAGTAATATCTTAATTCTATTAACAGTGTAATTCTAGTTCAATTAAAACTGATTCAGTTTAGTTTAGTTTAGTTTAATAGTAGAATGCTAAGTAGTACTAATTAGTTTTTACTAAATTAGTTTTAGTTCAATAAAATATACATTGCATCCTTTTCTTTGAAAGCATCTGAAAAGTTTGATAAAAGGATCTCAGGCTGTTTCTCAATTTCAAGAACTCAAGTTGATCTTTTGCAGTTCAAATCAAGCATCAGAGTAGGGAAGAAAAGTGGTTTAAATGACTTTGAACATGGCATGGTTGTTGGTGCCAGATGGGCTGATCAGTATTTCAGAAACTGCTGATCAACTGGCACAACCATCTCTAGAAGAACGTACAAGCATCACAAGAATTGCAACTGACCCAGCCGGGGCTCAAACTAGTGACCTTCTTGCTGTGAGGCGACAGCACTACCCACTGTGTCACCACATTAAACCATGGTCAATAATAAAGCCAATATATTTCATTCATCCATTTTCATTCAAGGGACACCACAGCAGAATGAACCGCCAACTATTTCAGCATATATTTTACGCAGTGGATGCCCTTCCTTCACATACTCATACACTATGACCAATTTAGTTTATCCAATTTACATATAGCGCGTGTGTTTGGATTATGGGGGAAACCGGAGCACCCGGAGGACACCCACACCAACAAATTAACAAGCCATACATTTCAGCATGTGCATCAAAATACTCTGTGATTTTGTTTTAACAGATCATGTTAAACAAAATGAGCGTCATGTAATGCCTTTAATGGAAAAACCAGTGGAGTGATCACATCGTAAAACATCTCAAAAGTTGTTTTGGTCCTTCTAAAATACCTCAGTCAAAGTCTGTGAGCACAGTGGTTTAGTATTTATAAATAAACTGCATAAACAATACTACATAAAGAAACAATACTTTATGAATAATAATAATAATAATAATAATAATTATTATTATTATTATTATTATTATTATTATTATCATCATTATCATCATCATCCTTATCGCTTTTATTAATATTTATTATTATTTATTATTATTATTATTATTATTATTATCATCATTGTAAATATCATCATCATCATGATCATCATCATTATTATTATTATTATTGTTGTTGTTATTATTATTATTTATCCTTATATTATTATTATAATT